GAGTTACCTTTGTACAGCAACGCACAGACCAGTGCTATACCACCTAGAAGAATGTTTGACAGGAAGACAATTTGAACCTGGCCGAGGGCCACAGATGACAATCACCCACCTTCGGCTTGGTTGCACAGCTTCCTTCCACTAGGGCAACGTAGCTCTCTCTTGGTCGTTGTCATTGTTATTGTTGTTTAATGCCGTTGAGTCGTAGACGACTCATAGTGACCCTATGAACAAACAGCCGATCCAGACTATAGTCTTTGCAATTATGTGCTATGCATCAGAGAGTTGGACAGTGAATAGGGATGATAGAAGAAGAATTGATGTCTTTGAACTGTGGTGATGAAGAAGAGTGTTGAATGTACCATGGACTGCTAGGAGAATAAACAGGTCTGTCCTGGAGAGGGTAAAGCCAGAATGCTCCTTGGAGTCAAGGATTCTGAAGCTTCAACTGACATACTTTGGGCATGTTGCAAGGAGGGACTGGTCCTTGGAGAGGGACATCATGTTTGGGAGAGTTGAGGGACAGTGCAGGAGAGTTAGACCCTTGATGAGATGGTTCGATTCTGTAAGTGGAGTGGTGGGAATGAGTGTGTTAGAGATGGCTAGGTTGGCACAGGATAGAATGGCGTTTAGGGCTCTTGTACATAGGGTCACTATGAGTTGCAAGTGACTCGATGGCACATAACAACGACGACGACGACAACAACAACAACAACAACAGTGGTTCAAATCAATGGCACTGCAATTCCCCCACAGGAGAGAAGAAGACAGACATTCTCTCTGATTTACAGCTTGGGAAACCTGATGGAGCACCATCATGAGTCAAAATCAATTGATGACAGTGAGTCTGGGTTTCTTTTGAAGGATCCCTTGTGATGTCATGGGTAAAGCTCTTGATTGAGAACCAAAATGTCATTGGTTTGAATACAAAAGCTTCTCTCAGGAACAATATGTGGCAATCTACTTCCATACAGCGTTATGTCCTTTGGAAACCCTATTGGTCAGTTCTACTCTGTTCTGCAAAGTTGCTACGAGTGGGAGTCCACTGGAAAGTAGTATGTATGTGAGGGTTTTTTCCAACTTCTTTTCATTTTGAGGGTTGTCCTTAGGATCAGGTGACATAACGTATTAGAAACATTCTGCAAAGTAAATAGCACTTCACATTGACGCACTATGAAT